TTTTGTGTGCTTCTCCCCCTACCCACACCCAAAAAAGAGGAACCAAAGCTTAGTAGACAAGAGCACTTATGATGAATGTAAATATTGGGAAATAAGTAGCACCTCTGGTCAATAAAATGATTGTCAACATTTATTTCCAGGAAGCCTAATAGTGCATTTCTGATTTTGTAAATAAAACTAGTTAATATGTACCATGGAAGTTTGGCTACTTCATATTTCAGAATTTACACAGAATGTTTACTAATGAAATAAAAATGAATTCCTCAAAGCAGAATTATCAATTTTAAGATAACAAAAAAGGTACAGGTATTTGTTTTCTATGCTTTACTTTGAAAATTAGCCAGAGAATACCTCTAATATCCATTCATCCTGCATCATAGGATGCTATAGTATTAATTTAATAATCTAGATCCATCCATTTATTTCAATAAATGAATTATTCTGTGCATGGTACTTAGATAGGTAGGCATTTAAGCTGTTATTATAACAAAGTTAACTAACATTTTTGTCTGCAAGAAACTCACATTCTAGTAAGAAACAGATGAATTTGAAAATATATTCAAAACTGCAGGCAAAATATGTACTCCCATAAAGGAATTCAACATTTGGTTTCAAATTAGTTATGCTGAGAAACAGAAGATACAATTAACAGAGACAGTATAAATGAAAGTTAAGTGGTAAATGATTCAGTAGTCAAACAAGTTTCGTTAAAAATGAAGAAGTAGGAAAAAAATAAAGTAGGAACATACTGAATTGAATATACTTTAAAATAATCAACAACATAATATATTCCTGATTGAAATAGATCTACATTATATTTAATTAACAACAAAATACGTATTTGTATGAAAATGTTAGCTCTTTGATTTTAATTTCACCCCATGTTTTATTTACCAAGTCCAGGACTACTGGATATGCAAAAATTATAGAAATAAATACATATACTTTAAGTACCTTCATCTGTAAGAAGGCAAAAAGAAGTGCATTCTATCTTACATTTTAAAACTTTGATCGATGTTCAAATTATTTTATAACTTACTGATTTTTTTGGAAAGTGAAATTATATGCAACCATGGTTTAGGTCATAAAAACAACTGACCGAATCATCTTACCTATCAAGCAAAACCACCCTGTCTCTTAATTTCTCTTTAATTTTAGTTGTAGTCTATAGGCCCTGTGACAGACAGTAGGATCATTTTGTTCAGTGGTCTTTAGGATGAACAAAGCAACTACATTTTAATTCTTCCACTTAAAAAATCATAAAAATACAGCCCAAGATACAATTTATATTTTTTAAAAAAGTAATCCTACAGATTAACCCCTAAATCTAGCTCCTAAAGGATTCTTGGAAAAGTTAGCTAGATGTGGCTATTGCTAAGGAATATCTTTTGTCTTCTTAACAACATGTCATTATGCATGACTTTTATCCCATAATTTTACTTTTAATATCTGCTCTAATATACCAATGGGATAAGAAAAAAAATGTTTATTGAAGGAATATAAATAGTAATTTTTTTTAAATTTTCTTTTACATTTTTTTAAGTTTATTTATTTTGAGAGACAGAGAGAGAGCACGAGCAGGGAAGGGGCAGAGACAGAGGGAGAGAGAATCCCAAGCAGGATCCGTGCTGTCAGCGTGGAGCCTGACAGCAAGGGGTGGAACTCCACACCAAGAACCATGAGATCATGACCTGAGCCAAAATGAAGAGTCAGATGCTTAACAAACGGAGCCACCCAGACACCCCAATAAAATACTTTTTTAAATTCCTCAGAAATGGGAAATTATTCACCCTAGGAAACACTAATCAACGCAGTAGTTTAAAATAGCTGGAGGGAATATTTAGCAAATATGTGGAAATATCCTACTCTCCCATATCCAACATAGGAATTTCTATACCTGACTCGTATCTAAGCAATTTGCGATCTCATTTTTATCATCATTACAAAGAAGGGGCCTCATATTTATTGATGCGCTCACTGACATCCCATCCCATCCCATCCCCATCCCAATGGGATGAGGCTTTCCCCATCCCAATGACAAGGCACTGAGTACATATGGATGTCTGTTTGGCTGAATAACACGTCACTGACCGCAAACACATAATGTGCCCTGTTCATCAAAGATTTTACTGTGACACATCAGTTTATCAAAACTTTTATTAAAGTATGTTCTTAGGGTGAATAGCCTTGATGAATTAAGCAAACAAATACAGAGTACAAACTGTTTTTACACTTTCACAGAGCAAATTCCTAATAACAACCACTATCCCCTTCACAAGGGATTTTCTATTTAGACCTGATTTTTTTTTCTAGAATAGAATCAAAGGGAAAAATCTGAAAATAATATCTATCTAGATAAATGGGGACAGAGGAAGATGGGATCTCTAAGGTAAAAGAAACTATAGTTTTACTGTTGCCAGACCTCTGTTGTAGATTTTGGTGTTAAATACATGAAATGACCATTTAACAAAGCAAGAATTTTCTAGATAGATTTTATCTTAATAATTTTATCAACCCATCTTCAGATACCTGGATCAAGAAATATTGTTGAGTGTTCTCTTCAGGATTATACAGTGGCAATAATCTCTTGCATAGAACTTAATAATTTAACAAACTTGTGTTTTCTGTGCTCTGGCATTAAATTTTTAGGAAACAAGTGAATGATGCTTCTAAAATAAAATATGAACATACATAATAAAGGAATTAACGGACTACTGACACATGGTTTCTATAAACACATTACTGGAGAGTATGTTTAATGACTTAGATATTGCTATAAAAATACATATTGTGCACAATCATTCATCCCACCAATTATTATGTCCAGTTTACTCAGAATTATCCACTGTGGGAAATCATTAAATATTCTTCAAATTCAATTTACAAATGTGATTTTGCAAAATATGACTCAGGAGAAATATATTCACTCTGGAAATAAAGGTTTTATGAAGCAAGGTTAGAATAAATATTTCCAGGTAAATTTGTATTCAGTCCATAAAGTTCACCATTACAAATAGTATGGCCTATTCAGTGCAATGGAGAAAAAAATGAGTCAGGATTCAAAAGATTTGGGTTCTACTTCCTACCCTGCATTTATTCAAAATTCAAAATATCTGTTTAGGCAAAGCCCTTAACCTGTTATAGTCTTATTCTGTACAAACATGCATATCTAACAAACCTAATTTAGAGGGTTGAGAAGATGAAATGAATTAAATATATTTTTGATACATAAATAGATCAAACCCAAAATACGATACAAATCAAAATACAATTACATCTAATGATCAGAAAATAAACATTTTAGTTTGCGTATCCTTTCTCACTAAATCCAGAAATCTTTATCCTTCAGTTAGAAATAGAAAGCATGTGGTAGAAAAATAAAGTCCTTTAAATAGTATATCCAAAATTTGTACTCTACTCTAATGAACAAGCTATACAAACTAGGACTAACTTCAAAATCTTTTTTAGATGCATATTAAAGTAAAACAAAAAACAAATGCAGCATAAAAAGCTTAAAAGAATGTGTTTTAAAATTTCACCCTGAAATTCACATAAGAATTCTATTCTTTTGTTCATTTGAATGAAACTTAAAAAAAATTTTTTTTAATGTTTATTTTTGAGAGAAAGGCAGAGTGCAAATGGGGGAGGGGCAGACAGAGGGAGACATAGAATCTGAACCAGGCTCCGGCTCTGAGCTGTCAGCACAGAGACCGATGTGGGGCTTGACATGACCCATGAGATCATAGCCTGAGCTGAAGGTGGATGCTTAACCTACTGAGTCACCCAGGTGTCCCCAAACAGAACTTGTTACCAACTTATGCCTTGACAGATATTGAATATCTGTGTTTTCATACAGAGCCTCTCTAACTTATTTTGCCATATTAGAATTTTAAACAAGGAAATAAAAAAAAAAGCTTATTTTGCCATGTGAAGAAGAAATGTTTGTTGAAAAGGTGATGAATTAATCACCTACTGAAATATTCCTGAATGTTACTCACACTATTAACAAGTACATACAGACACTGGAAAACATGGCATTCATGCACATAGGGGAAGTGTAACTAAAACCCGCCAGAAAAACAAGAATTCTATATTAAAAATGCCCAGAATTAGAGGAAGAATGTTAAAGAAGCTGACCTAGATATTGTGAAAAACAAAGGAAAATAATTTTTATTTATCTTTTTTAAGTTTATTTTGAGAGAGACAGAGAGCACCTACCTGCATGTGCATGTGTGGTAGACGGGCAGAGAGAGTGAGAGGTTGAGAGAGAGAAAGAGAGAGAGAGAGGATCCCAAGGAGGCTGGGCACTTCAGTGTGGAGCCCAATGTGGGGCTCAAACTCACGAACCCTGAGATCATGACCTGAGTAGAAATCAAGAGTTGGACATTCAACCGAGCCACCCAGGCACCCCAAAAGGAAAAAAATAACTTTTTTTTAATAGTTATGAGGGGGAAAAAAGGAGGTGAGGAGTTACGGTAGCACAGGGGTGCGATGGGAAAAATAATTTGGTCTAAAAAATTCCCATATGCTCTACTAACGCCAAACATTCTGCTTGCAGTATTACTTTTCCTCTTAAGGCAAGGACCTAAAATTATGATTCTCAATACTCTAACAATTCTTTCAAGAAGTGCATGTAAGTGAAATAAAGTGAAAGAAAGGCAGTAGTGGGGGAAGACTAACATCAATCAGATCGCAGGATCTTTTAGGAGCTAAAAATGAAATAGTGTGCAAACAATTGAGAGCAAAGAAGAGAAAATGAGAACTATAAAAAATGATGTGAGCTCAGAAAATTATTCATTTTTAAATTACCAACAAAGATGGTTTATGGTTTTCATTATACAAGCATTATAATTACTGATAATTGAGCCCCTCAGCTTCTAAGTGCATGGAGACCACGCACATGGAAGTGTAGAAATCAAAACATAATAAACGAAGTGAGTTGAATAAAGTAAAGATGATAATTTCAATTTATATCTGAATAATTTTGATGCTTCTTGGTACTGTGAAGTGTTTTGGTAGGGAATCTACTTGGTATGATGTGTCGGGGATGTCGTTACATTAAAACTGCGTATAGGATGATATGTAATGGTGCTGTGATGGGGTGTTAAGCTTTGTTTCTCAAAGTTGTGAGGGGCTTTAAGAAAATTAGAAACATCCAAGATAGTGAGTGTCAAAGACAGGAAGATCGATTTTTCTAGATTCCCAAAAACCATATTCATTTATATATCTATCATGCATAAGGAAGACTCATTAACAAAATGTCTTCTAGAATATAAGCACGTTCCTTATGCAGGATACCTCAAGCCTATAGTCACACAAGTTCTCTTATTTGTGAAGATGAGAGGTCATGGTCAAAAATATATACTGCTGGCTCCAGGAATATGGCCATTCCTACAAATCACAAATAAAGAAGACCAGATACAGCATGTGTGGTTTTGTGAAAGATGTAAGACACTAGAAGTGTACTATCTGAGACAATGCTAAGGAGAACTATATATATATATATACATACATATATACATATGTATATATATACATATATATGTATATATATATATTTTGAGAACAATATCCTATGGATGCCAAAAGTCTAGAGGGAAAGGACAAAAGCAATGACACTTTTCTGTCCAAAGAACAAATGGACAGAATGGAGAATGGCAATTACAGATGCTCAAGGAAACTTGAAAAATGAGTTAGGGCTTTAAGGGGCAGTTGCATTCAATGAGGAAAATAAATACTTTATAGATAAATCAAGTCAATTATATCTTACAATCTTTCTAAATTTCTTTGATAGCTTGGGATGATCCTATAAATGGGAATCTCTGTATCTCTGAATATGATTTGTATAAGGTACTTTTTATTTTTGAGTCATAATAAGTAGCAACTAATATGGGAATTATTTATCCATAAAGAAAATAACATTTTCCTTCTAAATCCAACCTCAGGGAAAATATATTATGCCTGAGTCATATAAATGTCATTATTTTTATGAAAAAAAAAGCTGTATTAAAACAATTAGGGTTATTATACAATCATTACCATTATTTGGGATAATTTTCATGGGCTAGAAAAGCAAGCAACTTGAAATTATATATTCAGTTTATGGCAAACAGTCTCTAATGAACACTAAATAAATCAGATTACAAATTACAGTTAAACCTAACTAGTTTACCATATAGGTTTTAAATTTCTTATATTTTATCTACCTTTGCTTCTATAGATTCTATTGGAAGAAAGCATGGTAGTGAACACCCTAGGGGCTCTTTCTGCTCTCAGATAAACCTGAGTTTTAGTTCTATTTCTGTCACATACTACTTTTCAACTTTGGGTAATTAGCTGAACTTTGTGTGTCTGATTTTTTGGTTTTGTTTCTCTCATCTATTATATCAGGCCAATAGCCTCTACTTATAATTTGGTTTGAATATTAAAAGGTATTATGTAGCCAAAATGCATGCTATAAATATTACTTCTCTTTTCACTTCCTATCCTTTCTCCCTGTTAAATGCATCCTAATGATCACGATTTTTAATTGTTTTATTAAAAGTGTGCAACATTATACATTTGAGAGGGCCTTTTTTTAAAAGGTCCTTTTGGATGGAAAATTATTTTGAATTAAGTGATTAGGGATATCTCTACGTTTTATGACATCAATATAAAAACTTCCATTTATATCATATATCTTGAAGTCTTTTTCCTGTATCCTCATTTGTCATGTACAGCCACAGAAGGAGGAGTGAAAAAACGTGCCTAGATGTTGAAAGTGCACATTTAAATATATCAGACAATTATTTTATTTATTTTCTAGTTTCAGGGGATGGGTCATGAGATAGGGTGGTTGGAACTTGATACTAAAGAAGTGAAACTCATGAGCCTTGTGAATTTACATTGAGAAAACATCAGGTCTTCCAATGTGAAATACACTAGATACTGACCCAGAAAAGGAAAGAGAGTAGGGATAGGTCAGGACAAGCCTAAACCCAATATTCGATTCATAAATTAGTGAAGGCATATTTAAGGTTAAATTGTGAAAGACATGGGCTGCTCAGTTATCACAAGTAAAAAAATACCTAAAAGTATCCAGTGATCATTAATTATTTTGGCACCTTGGTTTATAACCTCCCTTCTGCACAATTCCTCAGTGACAGAATGAGACTAAAAGGAAATTTAATGATGTATATTCTGAATTTGCTTCATGACACCTTGAACATCTAAAACCCATCATTCCCTAGGGGAGGAAATACGCAAATTGCTGCAGACTCAGAGGCCAACTATACTGCTTCCTCTAGTTACACAACTATGTGAATTTCTAGGTTGGTACCTTCTGCTCAGTCTCCAAAGATTCTCTTAAAGCAACAGGTATTCTAACAAGTTCAAGAGAGTGGAGAGTGAATGACTAGAAGATTACTTTACCCTGGAACAATTCTCAATCCTGTACGTGAGTCTGTGTCAGTGTTTCAGGTGTGTTCTGATCTAATTTCCAACATGTACGTATGGGAATTAATATCTGTACATTTTGTAACGTTGTGTAATGCTACTGCTGGGTATGGCTACATACATATCATGTGCTTTGTGCAATTTTACTTCCCATTCTTTTTTAACAATCTAATATACAGTGTTAGGAATGAAAATTTAATGAGGATGACCAAAGACCAACACAACAAATTCGAATCGGTTTTGACCTGACAAAAACCTCATCAGTAAGTGAATAAACCCCCTTCCATGGAGGAAGGCACTGGAATGCACCCACCAGCTTATCTGTACCAGCAAGTGACAAAAAGGACCATAAGGCCGTAGGCACAAAACCCCACTATCAATACTTTGCTGTGTATTTCCCCCTGGGATATTATATCTGTATTAATTTAAATAGGTATCCTCAGAGAATCTGAAGACAGTTTTTGGAAATCTTTAATATTGGACAGCCACTACACAATTTATCATGTTGCATTTCTTACGATGAATCAGAGTTGAATACAAAAGCACTAATAAAATGAAAACAGCTCATTCAAGACTCAAGACTGGGCAAAACTAAATTAAAGACAGCCAAACACTGCCACATTTTGCCTGATTTATCTACCTATCATATTGGCACAAGTTGTTTTATTTAATATTTAAAAAATACAAATACCTCTTCATCTGCAAAAAAGATAAATGAGATGTGGAATTTTCTATAGCTTCCTAAATATGAGCCCCATGCTTAACCAGTGCATAAATTTTACAAATCAAATCCCTAACATTAACTATCACAAAAGCTTGGTGTCCAGGTGCACTCTTCTAAGAAACAAGAATAGCACCTGCCTCTACAGCAATTAAAAAAAAAAAAAAAAAACGGCAAATTCATTTTGACATCTTAATAGTAACATCACTTCAATAATCAAGCACTAAATGTTTTTTATTAATCATATGCTTAAACTTTAGATTTATTAATATAAATACTTATCGCATTAGCCATAAGGCACAAATTCTTCCTTGTTTAGAAGTACTTTATTACTCTAAATTGTATTTATAGTTCTGAGCGCACAGTAACTGTCATATGCTTCCATACTCAAGGGTGATTCAGATTCTCAGATGTTTTAACATCGCTATGAAAATGAGAAACCGCTATATTAACCCAGCCCACAATGCTGCAAGCTTCTTACTATCGTATGATAAACTATGCCTACCCTTCACAAGTATATGCCAACTAACATACAGCTTCCAGTTCTAGAAACCTTTAACAGTCTCCTAGTCATGTTCACTGGCAGCAGGAAGTCTGACTGGGAGTAGGTGGGATTTTGAAGAGCTGCCATTCTCACAACGTGAGGAATCTCAGTGGTGGAGTCAAAGGCCCATTTGGGTTTCTCTGTTTCGCTTTTGCATTTTGGCGAGGGGATAAAAATGGGAGAACTTGGAGGCCTCAGTAGAAGCACCTCTCACTCTTAGCTTTATTCAGATGGGTCACTCATAACAGTAACTCTCTGATCACTGCTACGTGACCGGGAAAAATTAGAATTTGGCCTATTTGTCAGTCTGTCAACCAGGTTTCTGGTAGATTCCATTCTGAAGTCTATGACAGGGAGCCTGGATTGAGTTCTGATTAAAAGAAATCCCTGCTTATTACTTTCTGGCTTAGCAACTAAAATCCTTTTAAAATTAATGAACGTAGCTCATTGCTAAGAATCATTTAGGCTTTTAATTTGATTTATATATTAAGTAAGAATTCTGAAAATTGTTTGAGGGTTCTATTCTCTAGCACCAAGTACTAATGGCCATCCTCAAAGAAACTACATGCATGGATTCATCAAATTTAACAGTACTCAGAAAAAATGGTTTAAAATGGAGGGTTGTTTTTTTTCAAATTTATTTTATATATGCAAATACTTTTATTTTTTACAGCAGTTAATTGCATTTTCAAATTAAGATCATCTTCATTTCACCCATGTTCTTATATTTAAAATCTACACTACAAAGTAGTATGCAGACCTAATACATTTCTTCACTCTCCACGGATTTGTTTTTAAAGTTAAAAAAAAAGTATAGTGATAATATTCTTTCTGAACTTATTTGTCTTTTGTCCTCTAGATACTCTGTGTGCATGTGTGTAAATACAGGTGAGTGTGTGTGTGTGTGTGTGCATGTGCACATTAGAAGAAAATTCATTTTCCTTCAATTCCATCTAACACTGAAAACTAAAATCTAGACAGGGTATTCTTATTTGATTAAATATATTCCTTCTCGCTATTTAAACCAGGGATTTGGGATTCAGATCTCTATAACCAAGACCAGAAGTCACTGGAAGACTCTACAATTACTCTAACCACCACAACCAGAGTGATGTATGGAAATAAACCCATTGCATGGATTCTTTATAGGCATAACCTCGAATTTTAACTACCCAAAGAAGTTTTAAAAAACAAACTTATAAAAATTTGCCATTGAGGAAAATCTCACTTCCATCCTTAATTATGACTTCTCATTTCAAGTAAAAACCTTTCCAATATTTTGAAAAAAAAAATACTCCTAATAAAGTCATAAACACTGAAATCAGAGATGTGATTCTTATTAAATATTAGTTTCTCTTTCTGAGGGATTATTCTCTGTTCTTGTACTTTTGATGCTGACATCATGATGTTTAGATTTGTTCAAAGGTTCAGATTCTTTGGACTCAGGCGAACTCATTTTCTTCTTCCTTGCTTCTTCCAGCTTCTTCTCCTTTGCAAGCAATCTGTAGTTTATAGCATTGCCGATAAGTAGCCACACACTTGATAGGAACACAATAGCTCCACAGGCGATATACATGTATTTATATTGTCCAGTTTGATCCACCAATTTACCTAAGAGACAAAAGAATATCTTTTAAGATAGCATAATAAAACAGCCATAAAATGATGACATTTTTGATAAGTATACCTTTTTCTTATTTAATATTGAATGAGACTTTAACAAAAAAATGTCCTCGATTATGTCTTCTATATATGCATAGAAAAGGCATGTACAAGCACACACAGCATTATACTACCAGTATGTTAAATTTATTAAAGATTATTCCCCTCAGTAAAATTGTACAACCAAGACAAAGTAGGTATATATATATCTGTTTGGGTGTATATTTGTAAATACATGTATGTGTGAGGCATGTTTTTTGTATTTATATGTATATAAATAGATTTATTTATCTATTAATATTTACACACTGAGACTGCTTCATCCTTTCCATGCTTCTTTTCAATAAAGAAAATACAGAGGAAAATACTACATTTTTTAGGAAAGACACAAAAGCTTTTATAAGGTTCTTGACAGGGCATAATATTTACTCAATGCTTTCTCTATGCCCAGCACTAGGCTAAACACTTTTTTTTTTAAATGTTTATTTATTTAATTTTGAGAGAGAGAGAGAGAGACAGAGCACGAGCAGCGGAGGGGAAGAGAGAGAGGAGACAGAGGATCTGAAGCAGGCTCTGCACTGATAGCAAAGAGCCCAATACAGGGCTGTGAACCCACGAGCTGTGAGATCATGACCTGAGCTGAAGTTGGACGCTTAACCGACTGAGCCACCCAGGTACCCCTAGGCTCAACACTTTTAAATGAGGTAATATCTCATTTAATCTTTATAAGAGCACTAGGAAGTAATTTGACCATGGTTACATAGCCAGTGAGTGGCAGAATCTGGAGTCTAACCAAAATCTGTCTGAATCTCTGGTTCTTAACTACTCTGCAAAATAGGTTCAGTGAAACTCTTGGTTAAGAGTCATTAACTCTTTAGGCTGATCACAATTTTTTAGTTTATCTGAATCTAAATTATTAAGGCCATACTAATCAGGAAGAGAGTATGTATCCCATCTGATTATTAAGAACATTTAAAAACTAGCCTGGTATCATACAACCTGAAGGTTTATTGACTTTTAAAATTGGCTTATTTAAGTGTGCCATATACATAAACATAACAATAATGCATAACTTACATTTCCATTCTAACTTAGGTCAAATATTTCTGTTCATGCAATAATTTTTCTACTTCTAAATACATAAACATTAGGTCTATGGCCCCCATCAGAATTAATATCACTTTGGGTTACCATATTGACATATTTTCTAAATGTTTGGGGAATTTCTTAGCATCATCAAGAAACCAGATGTGATTTCCAGTACTGAAACTTCAGCTGTTTGTGAGACAGCAGTGAAAATTTGAGCTGAAAAAAAAAAAAAAATCAAAACCATACTCTCTCTACCTTCCACTGCTCTACTAATAAGAGTAGCAAAAAAAAAAAAAAAAAAAAAAAAGTAGCACCAACAGCAACTGTATGAGAAGTAAATACAACACTTATTCATTCGAAAGTATTTACTGGGTGCCTCCATGTGCCAGACATCATTCTATCAGCGATCAAGGCTATAGAAAAGAAGCCAGTCTAAACATCAAGGAGAATCTGTGGTAGCAGGAGACATACACAGTATGAAAAAAATGGATAATTGTGGCTATGGTCTGAGAGCTTCAACAAGGAGCCCCAAATTAATTATTGTCTTTGTCACTACTGGTGCAATGGTTTGGCAATATTAACACAATAAGGACTCAAGAACACTGAAACTGATGTAAATATTCTTTTTTTTAAATTTTTTTAACGTTTATTCATTTTTGAGAGACAGAGAGAGACAGAGTATGAGCGGGGAAGGGGCAGAGAGAGAGGGAGACACAGAACCTGAAGCAGGCTCCAGGCTCTGAGCTGTCAACACAGAGACTGACACGGGGCTCGAACTCACAAATTGTGAGATCATGACCCGAGCCGAAGTTGGACGCTCAACCGACTGAGCCACCCAGAAGCTCCATTAATACAGGTTCTCAGCACAGGTAGAAATAATCAAATCATATTCCTTCATTTTCATTCTTACTGCCTACCTATCATGTCTGTTGACCTGGCTTCTTTTTTTTTTTTTTTTTACTCCCACCATGGCTGGTGAAATACAATTTTCTCTGTTAATACTAAGAATTCTGCTGCTCATGAATAGGCTTCTAAAACCCATTTGGTAAAACTAATTCTGTAGGAAAAGATAGGTCAATTGTATTTGTCTTATGCAGCAAAATCATTTGGCTGATAAATAAGACTAGCTTTCATTCTTTTTGAAAATTGCTTTGGTGCCACAGTATATACATATTAAAAGGTATACCACCCAAAACATCTGTGCTAGACAGGAGAGGACAGCCCTCCCTGGTAGACAGAAAAAGTCAATAGCTGTACCACTCATTCCTGACCAAGTGGAAAAGCAAGGCAAAAGGTCAATGATACCTTAAGATCAACAAATTAAATACAAATTTTCCCAATTCAAAATGATTCCTTGTCACTATATTGTATACCTGAAACTAATGTAACAATGTATGTAAATTATACTGGTATTAAAAAAATTATACCTAAATGTCATGTAGGAAACAGTTTAAAGACTGACTTACATACATGGAAAAATTTACATTGAGCCTGGCAGTTACTGTGACCACTGGGTGTCAGGCCAAGAGTCTAACTGAATACCTAAGTTTAGTATTAAGCAAAACAATGGTTTCCAGTGGTTACTGGAAAAGACTGGCCCACATAATGTTTACAACATGAAAGTCTAAGATTAAACAAAGTCTTAACTTCGAAAATGCACTTGTACATTTGTTTTAGTCTCCTTAGTGTGCAATTTAGCACAGATACTTTCTTTTTTAAAATTGTTTTTAATGTTTGTCTATTTTTGAGAGAGGGTGGGGAGGGGCAGAGAGAGAGGGCAACACAGAATCTGAAGCAGGCTCCAGGCTCCGAGCTGTCAGTGCAGAGCCCGACACAGGGCTTGAACTCGTGAACTGTGAGATCATGACCTGAACCGAAGTCAGATGTTTAACCGACTGAGCCACTCAGGTGCCCCTAGCACAGATACTTTCATAGGCATGACTGAAATATTTCAGATCTTAAAAATCTAAAAGTAATCCTTATAGTTTATAAGTGTGAAATGTAAGTATCTGTTCAAAATGAATTTCTTTTCCTTCCTATATATATATATATATATATACACATATATATGTACATGTATATATGTATATATATATACACACACATATGCATATATATTCATATTTTTCTGTCAGCAATATTATAAAAGTATGCTATCCTTAGGCATGTAACATATTAATATAACCAATGTACTCCAATAAGAAAAGAGATCCTGACCTTTTGATAGCATTATTTTAAATTTTTAACTCTTTTTAATATAAACAGAAATTTGTTCATCAATGATAAATAAAAGGTGGAATTTTATTATTATGATACATTTTTATAAGCACATAAAAACAGATATGCATAAAAACCTGAAGATTATGTTACTAATTATCAGTCTAACTTAAATTCTTTTTTTTTAATTTTTCTTTAAACATTTATTTATTGAGACAGAGAGAGACAGAGCATGAACGGGGGAGAGTAAGAGAGAGAGGGAGACACAGAATCTGAAACAGGCTCCAGGCTCTGAGCTGTCAGCACATAACCCGACGTGGGGCTTGAACTCACACACTGCGAGATCATGACCTGAGCCGAAGTCGGACGCTTAACTGACTGAGCCACCCAGGCGCCCTAGTCTAACTTAAATTCTTAAGTTCATAGGTCCAGGCTCTGAAGCAAATTTATGTCTAAAATCAACTATTTATGCAATTTAAAAATACATGTATAATAAACCCTAAAGTTAACACACCCACAGCCTTGTAGGCTATTCATGTTTATTGTTATAAGCCACATTATATCATACATTCCAAAGAAGTTCCTGGCTAGTGGGTATTCCTTTTATGCTCTCTGCTCCTCTGGATGAGAATGATTCTTACCAGCAAGAGGAGGGCCAAGAAGAACAGGGCAACACTCCACCACTGTGACGAGTCCCACAGCGCTGGAAAACCTCTGAGGGCCAACCAGGTCCATGAGCGTTTCAAAGAGGACACTGCTAACACTCCCAAATCCGAGACCAAAAAACACAGCATACAACACCAGGCTTGTGTAGTCCTCTGCCAACGGGCACAGGAGATGACACACTCCGTTGAACATGACTGCAAAACTGAAGAAGTACTGGATTCGGGGTCGGATAAATTTGGAGTTTGCAATGATTCCTCCACAAGGTCTAGCAAACATATCAACAAAAGCCATAACAGACAGCAAGAAAGCTGCAGAATACTCATCAATTCCCTTGTCTTTGGCATATGGAGCCAAGAATATAATGGGGGCAAAAAACCCTAGAAACATAATGACATTTCCAGATAAGTATATCAGAAATCCCCTATGCTTAAAAAGGGAGAAATCTAAATACTTATTAACTCTTTCCCATCTTGATTTCTTCCTATGGCTTTTCTTCACATCTGGGTCATTCTCTCTTATGCCAATCTTATTTTTAGACTTCTTCGTAGCTTGTTTGGGTTCAACGGGTCTCATGAGCGATCCAGCCACACAAGCATTCAACAATAAGCCTCCTAAAATCAAAAAACTTCCTTTCCAACCAAAAGTATTAAAAAGGTACTGATTGAAAGGAGCCAATGTGCTTAAGAAAACAGGACTTCCTGCCATGGCGAGGCCATTAGCCATGGGTCGTTTCTTGTAGAAGTATTTGCCAATGATTGTTAGGGCAGGTTGCAGGTTGAATGCTAAACCTAAACCTAAAAAGAAAGACAAAAAGGAAGAAAAACACAAACACATTATGTCAGTCACAAAAGAAATCACTCCTTAAAAGGTACATTCACGTGGGTAAGTCAGGACCCAAAGTACAACAGCAGGTGGTAATTTTTGATGATAATTATTATCACAGAATTGCACATCAACAAAGAGGTTCTCATAACTGGACATTTGACAGGTATGACAGCTTCATATTGCTTTCATGTAAAAGCACAAAATTAAACCCAAGAACTTCTGATGTTTCCATATTCATAGAATAGGTTGAAATTAGGACAGAATTATTAGTTCTTACTTAAAATCATGTAATTCCACAGATAGGTTAATTCTCTCTCCATTTATGTAACATATATTTTTATATGCTTTATATTTATATACACACATATACAATAGATTGCTACCTTGTGGGCAAGAGTGCAATTTATGTGAACACTTTTGTTATTTTTATTTTTTTTAAGTTTTGTTTTTATATTTTGAGACACACAGAGCGCAAGCATGGGAGGAGCAGAGAGAAAGGGAGAGAATGAGAAACCCAAGCAGGCTCCACACTGTCAGCACAAAGCCCGATGCGGGGCTTGAACTCACAAACTGTGAGATCATGACTTGAGCCGAAGTCAGACACTTAACCTACTGAGCCACCCAGGCGCCCCACCTATATGCATTATTGGGCAAAACACTTAGACTTCTTGAGTTCCAATCCCCTCAACAATAACAAATGAGGGTTTTGCCAAAGTCAAGTAAGTTCTAGAACTCTTAAGATGTTATATAATGACATTATGATGGTAATTATCTGCAAATATTTATTTAAAAGTAATGAAATTCTGGGCACTCTGTAAGGTACTGAGTATTCATTTTTTGCATGCATCATCCCAACAACTCCAAAAGGAAAGAGCTATCATTTTCCATATTCTAAAGACAAAAAGATAGAAAGAGGCTAATTTACCCACGATCAGCTAATATGTGCTAAGTCAGGATTAAAACTAGATTGTCTATCAAAAAGTATTGGCTGATAACGCCTTAAGATAAATCTCTCATAGGTGCATTTAAGGATTGACTCCAGAAGCGCCAAAGTCTTCAAGACTCAAAATAAATGGAATTGAAGTCAGAATAGCATATAATCCTGTTGAAATTTGTGGGACAGTAATATCAAAATGATCGTTTCCATATTACATCTATTTGTGGGCCCAGCCTGACTTCTATGGTCAAATGCAATATACTGTATTTCTGCACAAAACAAAAAAGGTGTTCCCTGCACTATGACAATTCTTAGATAGAAGATTCTCATTTACAATGTGAAAAAGTATTTTATCACATCAAAAACGTAGAGCGTTGTGGATAGGCTGTAAAGAGAAAGATTTTAACATCACTATTACTGTAGGCTTTACTACATCTTATTTTTTTTTCATCAAATGATATGCCACTGAAGGGTTAGACTGATCTAAAATTACTATAAAAAGAGAAATACACTTACTGTTTTGCTGTGAGCATAAGGAAAAGATTCAATTTCTTTATACACTGAATCCAATTTTCCTTAAAACTTTGCGTGTAGATTTGCTTAATGCAATTTATTGTTAAGACTAATAAAAGTAGTGTTTTCCAAATGTACATATTTAGGTCAGTTTAGGTCAACAGACATTACACATGAGGAACAACTGTAATTAAGTGACAGTATAAAATTTAAAAATATTAGCAGCAAATGTGCCTTACAGAGCCTTTAAGCAACTGGAATCTTTTGTAAGGAAAAGAAGGGACCCTAATACAGAGCCCTACCACTAACCAGAACACAAATAAAAATAATTCTATTGTTAGAGCTAAATCAGTGCATGCAGAAAATATATTTTGGCATCATTTTTTAACCTATAATGAGTCATAAGTCAGATACTCTAAATAGTGGTAAGTAATGAAAAATAACTTTAAAAAAAATGAAGCTATTTATATGCCAGAAAGTTTATGTCCATAATACCCCATCTTAACTGGCTGATGAGCAAATGGTGAAATGGTAAAATTAAATGAAAATGGTTTTCTTTTCGACATTGATATCATAGCACCTAATGTGTCTAATATTTTGTTTCTTCCATTTCTTGAAATAAGTTTGATTGGCCATTCCATGGTAGTATTTCATTGTACTCGATGAAAATACTTCAAGATAGCATCTGCTATAAGACATAAACTCAAGTAAAACAATGTAAATGTTCTATTGTTTATGCTTCTTACAGAGCTTTGCAAACAATGGAAGTGTTAAGAAGAAAATAAGCAGAAAACAAAACGACTTACCAGTAATGAATCCCACAGTGAGGTAGAGCTCTATTACGCTGGTACTAAAAGAGGCTGTGACCATTCCCAAGCAGCATAATAAACCTCCTATCATCACTACTGGTCGGCTACCATATTTATTCACCAGAACACTACTTATGGGACCTGAGGTAGAGAGGAAATGAAGAAATATTCAATTGCTGGGTCATTTACTTACAGTTTATTTTTTAACATTTGTTAATTTTGAAAGCACGTTTTAATGATCAAACAAAAATATTAGTTCACATAGAATATAATGAAGACTTTTCAATACTTCCTAATCAGATCGACTGTTTTTCTTTAACCATATATATGACAGCACATAAAATAATAAATTCTAAGTGTTTAACATATAATTTACGACCATAATCATTCAACTTTTGATGCAAAAGTTTTTCAACAGGACATAGTTATACTACCCAATATTTAATAAATGCAAACAAATTTATGTAACAATCTAGAGATTACAGAAATCACTTATCATTTTATTTTCTAGAATAATATATTCTATGGGCAAACACATACATATCCTCTTAATTAGAGCTCAAAATTGTTTTATGATACCACAGTATGATTTTCTTTATAAATCCTTTTTTGAAAAATTTCTTTTGATTCTAAGATGCCAATTGTTTTCATATTTTATTATGTTAGAAATAAGGATGTCTCACACTAGAGGTCTCTTAACAATCCCTGTTTGACAGGTGGTGGTCATAGGTAGCAAAGTAGCTATCACAGCCTATGCATGCTTGAATTTGGTTAATTCTGTGGCTTGGTTGGACAATGGCAATTCTTCATATTTCATATATTTCAAATTGCAATCAAACCATATAAGGACCACTTGAAGAAGTAATATGAATATGAATCCTGATTATTGTCTGAAGTATTCTCCTGTTGACACATTCTGATAATGTCAAAAAAGTACCAGCATCAAAACATACTGAATAGATAGAGCAGCTGAGATGAAATTACCAGAGAAAATGGCAGATCTCTCTAGTAAGATATGCTGCCTCACTGGCAAAGAGAACAAGCTTACGTGTGAAACACAAACACTGAGAACGCTGACTCAAAAACTAATTTAGGAGAGCCATATACTGAATGGGAAGAAGTTTTAGAAATGCCTTACTCAATTTATTTAATGTATACTTCCTAATGCATGTGTGTGTGTGTATATATATATAAAATGTGCAAGAGTGATTAAAAGGATTAAAATCATCTATGTTTACATCTAGAAAAGCTCTTTTGGTAGTTATAAAATAAAGGCTCTAAATATTAAGAGCTGTTTTATTTTAATCACAGCAATTTTTTTAGCAGTATCTCATAAAATAATGGTACAACCTAACAATTGAGGTCATCTTAGATTCCGTGAAAGTTAATACTATTTTATGAGACCTGTCAACATGTAAATGGTTTGATTTGACATTTCCTTCTTAACTAAAAATCATGTTTCATCTATAACAAGGGCCATTGCTTTGAGGAAAAAAATACTACATTAGGTCAGAATTCTCAGCCCAATATTTAGCCTAGAAAATAATTAATGAATTTTAGTTAATACTATAACTTAAAAATTTGCTAAGTGCTATTGTACTGCATTTGAGAATTTTTACGTGGATAGTATTTGAAATATGTTCAGATTCATTTGTCAATAAGCCTTATTCTTTCATACAACTATAGTTATTATTTTTATTCCTTAACTATAAGTTGAAATAAAAACTTCATGGCCTAATATTACTCCACACATCTTCTGAAATGGTATTGGTAAAAACACATTATTTTACAAAAAGCACTCAAAAACAGAATATCACATTTTGCATTTAATACCAAACAAAGCAAAACTAAAAAGGGCCATATGAAAGATAGCTCTATAAAAACAACAGAGTTGGGGGAGAAATCAATGAAAATTGTACAAGATAATGTGAAAAGAATAGATTTCTACCACTAAGATGGTAAAAACTTGTATGATTTAGGAAATGAGCATTTTCATTAAAAAGCACATAGCTAAATTCAGATAGCCTTTGTGAGAACTGAATTGATTAGCTTTGATTAAGTATTGAACTTAAGTGTATATTCCTTTTCTTAAAATTACTTAACCAATTCACTTCACTTCACTTTAACTCAAATCAGTTCAATGCAATATTTCTTGAGCTTCTAGTATAAAACCAGTTGACATACACCAAACATAAAATAATAAACGCACAGCTATAAACATCAATGCATTATAGTCCAGAGGAAATTAACAACAAGTTATTTTAAGAACTGTGATGAGTGCTTTGATTAAATACCAGACTATTCAAAGGCATTTATCAATTACTTGGACTAAAAACAATTTTCTCAGTATCGTTGAAATTATATATGCCATTTTCTATGTGATGCCTGGATAACTAACACAAGGGCTAATTACATTTTACAAATGTATTTGCCTAAACGGTATAAATTTAAATTTGAACAGAGGCTATGAATCACAACTTAATTTGCAATGCATTGTAAATAATGATGTCTATAGTTTAGGATAACGACATAAAGGCTTTCATTCCCCCCCCACAACTGTGACTGATTAAGAGTAGCCAATAAAGGGGCGCCTGTGTGGCTCAGTTGGTTGGGCAGCCAACTACAGCTCAGGTCATGATCTCATGGCCTGTGAGTTTGAGCCCCTGCGTCGGGCCCTGTCCTGAGTGCTCAGAGCCTGGAGCCCTCTTCCGATTCGGTGTCTCCCGCTGCCCCTTCCCTGCTTGCTCTCAGCCCCCACCCCCCCTCTTCTCTCTATCAAAAATAATAAACAATAAAAAAATTTAAAAAAAGAGTAGCCAATAAAGGAAATATTTAGAGGTGTTAACATTTTTTTTTTGGAAGGGGCCTTTATAGTTTCTACCGTAGTATCAGTCAAGATGCAATGAAGAGTTCTGAATTTAACAAATGATTTTTCTGTAAATCATATACTTTAGTTAAGTGATAATCCTTAAAATAATCTATAAGGAATATACTTACATAATTCATCTATAATCTTTTCCTAGCAAAAAGAAATATATAAAAAATATATTAAAAATATATACTTTTTAAGTTGATTTATTTAGAAATAATCAAAGCTCCTTACCTCTTCATATTAAATGCTTATAAAATGTCATAAAGTATTTCTATTTGTAACAGTTGTGGATCTAATTAAAATTCTGATACAGGACAAACTATACTTATTTTGTAAAGAATCTTTAAATGCTTAATATTAGCTTGAGGAGGCATCTAAAATTAGATGTAAAACACATTGCCACTCAATACCTCTTTCTCCAACCTACAAACAGCTTGGTTCATTGTATTAACAAGAAAGATAAAGTTTTAAGAAAATAAATTCTCATCACATGTAATTTTTGTTAAACATGCACTAGCCTCGCAGTTATCCTTTGTTGATGAATCATAGGCCTAATTACATTCTGAGCCCATTCATTCATTTATCTATTAATTCAATCAGTGTGGAAGTTTTTACTCAGCATATGTTTTTAAGTAGTCATGATGTTTAATCATTAGTTATGTCAAAAAAATTCTCTACCTGCTGAGAGTTGTATCTGAGCCCATATCTAAGTAGAGCAAAGGTATTACTCATCCAAATGCTGTGTTTTATTTCTCAAGTAGTTAAAAAAAAGTGATGTGTAAGAATTTTTAATATTGTCTTACTTCCAAAAAATCCAAGAAAGTATCAGACTGTATCCAAACCAGCCTGATCTACCCACTAATTTCTTCTGATCCAGCTTTCCGAACTATCTCAGAATTTTTAGAGTCAAGTTTAGTAGTCACTTTTATGGTAGCTGTGATGCTGTAAAGGAGGACTTTCTCAGAGAGCAGTATGAAGATCACAATGTTGTCACCCATATTTCACCTTCTTTGTTTTCTGAAAGCTACTTCTGTCAGCTACTTCTGTCTTTTAATGACTATGGCTCCATAACACTTAGCAAAAGAATACTCTGGCAAGGAAGTTTTTGTGGGTTCTTACAAATTACAGACAGTGTTTGCCCATTCTTAGAACTGTTGCACTTATAGTTCATCACCCCTCCCCCCCCACACATACCGCAACACTTATTTACTCTCTATTTTATTTGAGTCTTGTTCATATATTCTATTTGAAGCTCTGTGACATTAGTCACCACATATACTATTATTATTCATCAACATTTATTGAATTATTACTCTTTGCAGGCAGTGTGTTAAGAATTGTACATGAATTATTGCATGTGATATTCATGGCAATTGATAATTACAGTAATGTAAGAGTTGATCAAACTGATATATGCAAAGTGTTTAGATAACTTGTCTAAGGACACATCAATATAAGTGGTAGAATGTAGATATGAGCCCCAGGTCATCTGATTATAAAACTTACACCTTTTACTACTGTGCAGAAAAGAATTAACATATCATGTATGAGACTGCCATCCTTAGAAAGGCCTGCCTGCAAGGCTGGCACCTGGGAACTTGGATTTCAGACGTGTTCCCACCATTCCCTAACTGGTGAAGTGGCTCACTGTGCTTGAACTGTTTCACGATGTGGTTTACGCCAAACATCTGTTTTCCTACCCGGAGTGTGGATCTTTAGGTCATGTGTGACAGAGAATGCCCATGTGACCAGCAACCCAATAGAAACCATAAGCTTCGAGTCTCCAGTGATCTTCCTGGTAGACAACGCTTCACCTGTGTCACAACTAGTTGCTGGATTCAGCTTGTCTTCTGTGATTCCATTGGGAGAGGACTCTTGGAAGTTTGCACCTAGTTTCTCCTGGACTTTGACCCATGGGCTTTTGCCATTCCTGACTTTGTTTGGCATCCTTTCGTTGTAAAAAATCATAGCCATGAAAAAGACATTGTTGGGTCCTGTGAGCTTTTCTAGTGAATCATCAAACCTGAAAGTTGTCTTGGGGATTCTGAATACAACTACTATAGTATATCTCTTCTAATTTTGAGTTTTGCATGTAGTTATATTTAAACAACTGATTTTTTTTTTTTGGTAAATATTTTTAAAATGTACGACCTATGTATACAGGAGCTGGTCTATTCTTTTGTGCATTGTTATTCTGCTCTGCAAACATGAACTCATAGTGTTTGTTTTATTTCTTTGGTATATGGCATGAGTACATGATAAATGCTGT